AGTGCAAATGTTATTAATTCAGGGATTTCTTTTTTTATTTCCAATCTGAGCTCTTCTATATCTTTCTGCAGCTGTTTCTTTATTTCAGAAGCCATTGATTAATTGCTTTCAGCTGTGTGATTTCCATTTTTTTCTGTGTTAGTGTCCTCTGCACTTGTTACGGTTGGGCTTGGGTTCTGAGGTTGCATTTTGTTCCTTCTTGTCATTTTGTGTAACACTGTCTTCTGACTTTTGTTGTAGATCTTTGTTGTAGTTATAACCTTCACACTTACTGAAGTTCAGGTGCAGCTCTACAAAGTTCGGACTTATCCAGCTGCATCTGGCTTGGGTCTGGCTGTTGTGCTCAGCTCCTTCCTGCTGCTGCCCTTGAAGGTGAACCTGTTGTGCCCCTGTGGCAAGATGTTCTGCTCCTGGACTAGCTCGGCGGATCTATCCTCTACACTCTCTGAAGGGATTGCAGCTGCAGGGTTACACCCCAGGCGTGTATGTCAGTCCTGAGCTGTGCCTGGAGAGGGCAAGGTGAAGTAGGGGGAAGAGGAAGCTCTCCACACACTCACCCGACCTGGGCTAGGAGTGGGTCTGGGGATTCCACGGAACGCCGCAGAAATTCCTAGGGCGGGCAGGGTGGGAGAGGTGCTGCGGAGTGGTGGGGGGCACCCCAAGTTTGTGGGAGTGGGTCCGGCCCACGCTGCACCTGGACTGGGCCTGGTCCTGCTGTGCAGGTCAGCAGGAAGCTCTCCACACACTCACAGGACCTGGGCTAGGACTGTGTCTCTCTTTTATTTATTTTATTTAGAAAGAAATAGCAATGAGACAGTTTCAAAATAATTAATACTTTGCATATTGTTGTCTTCATAGCAGTTAGAGTACAAGGGAAAGACACGATATCTTGTCTAAACACTTTGTGTCTAAATTGTTTGGTATTGAGACAGATAGTGATAAGATTATTTCTTGAAGGTCCCTATTTTTAAAAAGATTACAATAACAAATGAATGCTTCAGACTTCAGCCTAACTTTTGAAGAGATAAAAATGAGTTCATCACAATTCTTTGTCTGAAAATTAGAGAAGATGGTTTCAGTACGGCATATCATACATTTATGTGCAGTCTCATAAATATGTAAGGGGGGTTGTGTGTGTGTAAGTGATATATGGGATACACTTAGCAGTGTTAATTTTAGTAGGCATATAAGCTCTTTATTTTTGAAACCATAATTATACATATTATGTTCAAGCAATGCACTGAATTTATTTCTACGTGTACATTAGTTAATATTGATATGTTATAAAAATATTACACATTTATTCTCCATATTTCATTCATGATTTGAACTGTGCGTTGTATTTTGTACTTGTATCACATCTTTCCTTGGATCACGTAGCTTTCATATGATTGGTGCTGACATGGAAATAGCATGTACTTAATTGAGCACATGCATAAACTTAACATGTATAAAATATTATTTCAATTTTAAAATTTATATTAAGGAGAAAATATTTTCCCAGTTTTCTGGTCTTTCAATGAATTGCCTATTAATAATTGGATAATTTCTAAGATGATTTTGACATATCAATATTAAAGTATAAGTTATATTAGAGTTCAGTACTGAATATTATGCAATTTTCACAAAGGCAAAACTATAAGTATTCGGCCATTTCATAACCATGTAGGATAGCTACCCTATTCTGAAAAGACTCCTGAACTCCAGAACTGCAAGTGCTACCTCTGTAAAGCTCATCTTCAGTGTCTCAGAGGGAAGAAAGCAGAACTACTATTAAGCTTTGTTTCTTTGACTTTGGATGGATGAAAATAAAAATTTACCATAGATTCAATTTTTGAAAATATATAAATGATAGACGAACCCAAGGTTGACATGTAGAAATGTATAAAAATCTTGTTAAATCATGGAATTAGCAAATTTGAAAAACATACATCTGAAAGGTCAGTACTTAGTCCAGAAATGCAATATATTTCTGCACTGATCTTGGATTGCTAATTTGAATGTTCTGGATTCAGTTTACTTATTGGGAATGTGGAACACATGTGGCTGAGAGTTTTAGAATATACAACTTGATATAATCAAGCATGGGCCACAGAAGTGTTTTATGTCTTCCCTAAACCCTGGGTATGTGAAGGTAGAATTTCCCATCTGGACTTTGGGTGACTTAATTCATAACTGTTCCAAACTTGGCATGGAAATTTTCAAAACATTTTGCCACATCAAATCATCAAATGACCTACTGAAACTAGCTTTGAGCCAAGAGGAGATGGCCCCTGGGACTCTTATCAGTAGACTTGATGAAATAATGATGCCTGGAAGGGACAGGATTATCATCCTAAATATAATTTCTAATTTGTGGTTTTCACCTGAACAACAGGCCCCAAAGGCAGTGCTTGAAGAGAAAATTCCTGCAGGAGCATAGACAAAGCTTAACCACAAGAAGTCAAGTTAACTTTAGCACCAACCCCACACATAGCAAAGCATACACATACACATGATAGATGCATTTACCTGACGGACACTGCCTGTCCCAACTTCACTTAGCTTCTCACTGTGTAGGCATTTCTAAGATGCTCCTTTTAGTTCTCATTTTCTTTCTCTTGCAGCTTCCCCTCATAATGTGTTATGCAGCTGAGGAAGACTGCATTTTTACAAGGACAAACAGTGTGCACAAGGATGGAGATGTGGTGATTGGGGCTTTTTTCTCCCTTTTTCTCTCTGTGTACTTCAGTGGCATCACTGGTATTAAACCTAGCAAGGACTTCGTTGTCATGAGGTAAGTACCATTTTATTTATTGATTGATTGATTACCATGATGAATAATTCCTAGCTTGTTGGTGTACATATAGAGCATTGTTCTTTGCATTCCTGTTATGTACACTCAGAGAGAGAGAGAGAGAGAGAGAGAGAGAGAGAGAGAGAGAGAGAGTTACATACAACTGTCTATAAATTATTTTTGCTTTATTTCTATTCTTTTTTATTTTTGAAACAGAATGACACAACCTTCTAGGTTGTTGTCTTATTCATGCCTCACCTGCATCCACATGACATGAAGTGATGCCCACAACATATTACATTGAAACCACTGGATTGTGTTCCATTCCATGTGGTGGAAATTAGTTTTTGTTCAAAAGCACAGGACCCAACAATTGCTTTATGTGTGCACTCTTTATCTTCACTGCTATTTATGTCTCACTTGGTTTCGCAGACTTCTTAATGTAAGTGGCCAATTTATCTTAATTTTTTGTTTTACTTTTTGAGACAAGGTATGACTATATAATTCAGGCTGGCCTTAAGCTCACTATGGCAGAGGCTTGCCTTGAACTCAATGAGGTCCTCCTGCCACAGCCTTCTGAGTGCTGGGATTACAAGCATGTGACCAGCTACACTTTCCAGTAACCTTCTCATCAAGCTCTAATATCAGGGGTGCTCCAAGACTGCTAGAGCTGCAAGCATAACAGAAATATAGAATAAGCATTGTGTGTGATTTTATATTCCAATTTGATTCTGTTTCCCATGTACATTCTCTGTTTTTTTCATTTTACCTCAGTGTTTCTATATAGTTAATAACTATAGCAAACATATAGTTAATAAAAGGGTTTTCCAAAGTTTTGCCATGCTCCAGGAAACTTGTGTTCTTGTGAGAAAAGGTAACATCACTGAAACAATGATAGCTCAGTGCTTTTGTGAGGTACTTGATCCCTAAGTGACTCCTGTGGCAACTGCCCTTATTGGGGCACAGGGATCACAAAGCCAAGAATGGTGGCACCTTCATGACATTGGTCTCTGTAACTAACTGCTATTTATTTTCTATGTATTAGATGCTTGCTTATAAATATTTGTCCTAGAGTCCTAGACAGTCTTCTGATGTTTATGTATTTTTTGACACAAGCCCTCATCTTGTTTCATAGATGGGCAGCAATGTGCTGGGTGCAAGCATTCATCTTGCTTTAGTCTCTAATGATTGTGTATGCAAACATGTGTCACTGCATCTGGCATGCTTATTTTTTCAATAGACCAAAACATATTTGAGGCAGTTTTTTAGTTATTGTATGACCTTTTATTATGATAGTTCTTGCTGGTTATTGTATTACCACTAGTGAAAAATTTGGAGGATTTTGAATAGATTAGGTGAGGAAATTGCATGCTGAATCTGCTGAAGTGTGCTAAAGAAAAAAATTCTTCCTGGAACTTGATGAAAATGGTAAAAAGTATTTTGCCTAATAAGGGCATAGTGTTTGTTAAAGAGACAACTGGCATAGTGTTTTACATTGGGAAAGAAAGTTGGATTGGATTCTGAATTCTGCACAGGCTTCTAACAATTGAAAGTCAAATTCAGGATGTCACTAGATGGGTCACAAGGGACAACAACAGATGAATGAGTTATTCTGGCTAAGCTACCCTGAGAGCATTCTGACTATAATAGCGCAATGTTAGCAGACATCATCTGGTATCAGTAGAAAAAGAAAAACTGATCAGAGATCAAGTGTGAGTAGGTTTCAAGAATAGTTTAAAGATGTTGCAGAGAAAGTTGGGTTTCTTTTCATTGTTGTTGCTGTTTATTTGGCGGAACCGGGGGTTGAACTCAGGTTCTTGTGCTTGCCAGGAAAGCGCTTATTCCACTGAGCCATCTCCCCGGCATTAGGGTTTCTTTTCAGAGGGGAAGAGAGACTGCCTGCTCTTCCTCTTGTATACTCACCTGCTCAGGGAACCAGTCACCTGGACATTTTCTACACCTAAACATTCTAAATGCTGTTTATGAATAAAATAATATCCTTGCTATACCTATAGCAAGAAATGACTGTGTCCAACCTGACTCGTCACTATGGAAATACTCTGGCAGTTACTTTGCATGTTCCAATTTCAACTGTAATCAAGAGGATAAAAAGCATAAACTTAGGAAGATAAAAACATATACATGTTTTTATTTTTTTTTTACAATTAGATGATATGAATTTAATATTTTCCACTGTAGTGCATTTAAAACGTATGCATGAGTTCAATTGAGGAAAATGATTATATTTTAAAATAATAGGTTATGAAAAAATTACAGAACCTACTTAAAGATACATAGATATTAATAACCTGTAGGAATTCTCAGATGTAATAAGCATATTCAAGCAGTCCAGAAAAGAATCCTTTAAAGGTTTAAATGAATGCTGGATTATCATAATATGACAATATATCAGGAAAATAACTGCATTAGGAATATCACTTATC